TCAAGAAAATGCGAATAAATGAAATTTTCGAATTTTTCTTATTTTTATATTCCATAATCCCCCTCCAATTTTTATATATATAAACATCTTATTAAATTTTCAAAAGGTCCTTTGAATATTTTCCACAGCGAAACTTCATATCGGTATCAGCTTACATTGCAGGATTCGCAGAACCGGAAAAATTCAGAGAACGAAGAATTTCCTCCGGCAGGGAATACACGTTGCCAAATCATTCGGACGCTTTATCCTTGGCAATTATTATAAAGTTTCCCCCAGGCATCGAGTCCCCTCCGAGTCCTACGCCATTGGGAACTTGTCTTTTTTTTTAATACAACCTAAGCGATACTCGCTAGGGATTTTTTTTAAGGTTAGAATAAAGAAAGTCGACTCCACGTAAAACTTTGGATCGACAAAAATGGCGGCTGGTTGGATAAAAGGTTGAATGTGAAAAAAAAGGTTTTTTTTTTACTCGCTAACAAACCGATTCTCCTATCGCGTCCAAGTTTCCCTTTTTGTTTTTCGAATTGGAATTACGAACAATCGCCGGGAGGAACAGTTTTTAATCCGGAGCAATAAAACAATCGGAAGCGGTGGTTCTCGGTCGCTACTACCGCCATCTATACTTCCTACTTCAATTGCTTCCATATTGTTAGGTTAGGTCTCTCTTGGAACAGAAGCAAACCTCTTCTTTGCTAACTTTTTTTTTTCTACTTCTTCTCCGACTACTTCTTCTCCGACTACTCCTTCCCCTCCGCCGCCACTTCTTATCCTTTTTAAAACAATCGGACCTCGTAAACAACGTCATTCTCAGCTCTTTGTTTGGTCAGCCATCTTGTTTCCCTCTTCGAGGAATATCCTTGCTTTTCTTTTTTCGTCTCTTTTTTTTACTCTCTGTCCTCTCCTCTTACCACTACCCTCTATCCCCTTCCTCCTGTTCGCTATAACTGGATGTTATTACGTGCATGAGCCGTATATTGCTTGTTCCCCTATACTGCACCTTTATTATAGCTATTCCTACCTGTATATATATGTATATGCACCTTACACTGTCTCTTCCTGTTTACGGAATGTACGTGTACCTAAGTGTACCTATCTCTCGTTGGATGCGGTAAGCCTCCTGCGGGCTGAATCAAGGCTCTATAGGTAGAGAAACTGGCAGAACCTGAAGAGAAATCAATAATCGAGTCTCGTATAATATCTCTCAAGACAATTCTCAAGAAGAGATTCTCTCGTGCCCTTGGAAGTGGCGTAGCTTGCGTTACGATCGATAAAAAATTGACGCGAGTCCATTTGAATGGGGATGAACGATCCGGAAAAACTTTTTGAAAATTAATTATTAAAAAAATTTTTGTTAATGGTCTAATCAAAAATTGAATGTAATTTCGTATCTCTTGGACGAAGAGATTCCCCTGGTTACCGCGTGAGCGTATGCAGACGGAATTATCTATAGGTCAATCTATTAAGGGTGAACTCTCTGATAATCGATACCAATTACCTCTGTATCGATCATGTATCGAAACGTTACATTGCCCAATTAACCAATGGAATTTCTAGCTATCGTGAACAGGTGTATCTGATCGTTATGTGTAAACGTGAGTAATTACCTGTGTAATCGATATACGTGACCAGGATATATCTGCTAAGGGATGATTAATTGGAAAAAAAAGATTATGTAAATCAATAAAATTTCGGCACGCAGCAGTAAACTAATCGTCGTGGAAAGTGTCCAGAGAAACAGTGTCGATAAAGAAGAGAAAAATTGTAGAACCCTATAAAAGGCCGGGGGTGGTTAGGGGTTGGCAGGGGGTGGTTGTGTACGACCGAAAGCTCTTAGAGCGTCGAAGGGTGTTATGTGACTAGGACATGTTGGTAATGCTGGCTAATGGTACCCTGGTAAGTTCAGACTGGCTCCAGGGATGCTGGTTAAAAATCTTCAAGACCTAAGGGTAGTTTTAGTTAAAATGAAATTCGCCCTGGGATCGGTATTCCAATTGGAATTTTGGGTATTGGAAAATGATCAGGGCCGTGGGTACGAGGGGGTGACTTTTTTTTTTATAGTCTAGGACAGAAAATAGGGGTTGGATATTTAGTCGTGCCGAAGTCGGATGAAAGGGGTAGGGCCTTAATATTCTGGACTCCGCGAAGATCCTTTTCTATGCCGCCGGCGAAGGAGATATTAATACGTGGAGATGATGCGACGTGGCCTGATGGAAGGGGGGGGGG